AGAGGTTTGTCCCGCCTGGCTGTGTGTCCTCACCTGCTCTGACAAAGGTTCAAGCTGTGAAATCGGGGACCAGTCAGGCTGGGGATGCAGTGAAAGCCCAGGGAGCTGATCTGTTGTCAGAAAACCGAGCAGTGTCTGTGCTGTCCCCCACAGGACAGGAGCATCCGTGTGTGGAGGATGGGCAAGGCTGGCAGGGTGGTGTGTGTGGCTCAGGGGCTGGGCCATGCCCACGGCGTGGGCGCTGTCGCCTGTTCCAGGTAACGGCTGTCCCTCAGATCTGACCCAGGTCCTGCTCATGGAGGGGAAGGGCCTTTTCTCCCCTGCAGGGAGAGCCACTGATTTGCCTCCTTGATGTTTTTGCTCCTCTCAGACTGAAGGAAAGCTTTGTAGTAACCAGCAGCCAGGACTGCACCATCAAGATCTGGAATATCCCGGAATCCCTCTCTTCCAAAGCAAAAGCCGCTTCCATCTCCAGTCCAGAGACCCTCCATGCCAGAGTGACTGAGAGGGGCCACAACAAGGTCAGGCTCCCCCTGAGCTCAGAGGGTGCCCTTGGCACTCAAATCCCCCTCTCCCATGCCCTCCCCTGTGTCATTCCCCTGGAGCAGAGGCTGAAGTGCTCTGTGTTCCCGTGCCCCCAGGACATCAACAGCGTGGCAGTGTCCCCCAATGACAAGCTGCTGGCCACGGGCTCCCAGGACCGGCTGGCCAAGCTGTGGTCCTGCTCCGACTGCTCCTTGCTGGGGGTGTTCTCGGGGCACAGGAGGGGGATCTGGTGCGTGCAGTTCTCCCCCGTGGATCAGGTCCTGGCCACCTCCTCGGCAGACGGGACCCTGAAGCTCTGGGGCCTTCGGGACTTCAGCTGCCTGAAGGTGAGGGGAACTCCTGCCCCTGCTCCAGGCAAAGCCCTGGGCTTGATCCTTCAGAAACTGAGCTGCCTTTCTGCTTTCCAGACCTTTGAAGGCCACGATGCCTCAGTGCTGAAGATCATCTTTGTGAGCCGAGGGGCCCAGCTGCTCAGCAGGTTTGTGCCCGTCCCTTGGCAGCCTCCCCACAGGAGACCCACAACTGATCAGAAGGGAATCTCTTGGCTGGAAAGGCTGGAAAGTCCTTAGAAAGACTGAAAAGGGGCCATATTTGGGCCAAGCTTTCTGTAGGGGTTTAAATGAATCCTCTCCTCCAGTTATCCCATGGATTCTGTTTATCTGCTGTGCATTGCTGGGTTGGGGACACACACAACAGGCAGAGCTAAGGGCTCATCTTGCCCTGCACGTTTTGTTTGATTCTGCTCCTGTTTGGAAGGCAATGGAATGGGACAAGTTTATCTGGTGTTTGAGGTGGGGCAGAGCAAGAACGGATCTGTCCAGTGATTTATATTTGTTGTTGTTGTTGTGTTTCTCTTCCAAAAGTGGATCTGATGGTCTATTAAAACTCTGGACAATTAAAACAAACGAGTGTGTGAAGACATTAGATGGCCATGAGGATAAAATCTGGGGTCTTCACTCCAACAAACAAGATGACATGGTGGTGACAGCCTCCAGTGACTCCTGCATCACCCTCTGGCAGGTACAGCACGGGGGGTCCTGACTCCTCTCCTGGTTAATAATCAGGATAAATGGAGAACTCAGGATGCCAGTGGCTTGTTCCTCATGTGTACTCATTTTCTGCACTTTGGAATTGGGTCAGTAGTGCTTATCTTGGGGTTTGGGGTTATTTCCTGGCTGGACTGTTTCCCCAGCAGCATCAGGCACTGGTGGCTTGGAGGGAAGTTGGGAGTTGCTGGATTTAACCCTTAAATCACTTGGCCTAGAGATCTTGCTGCATAAACTGGTCTCCTAATCACTTGATGGCTCGGTAAAAATCCATCTGTATTAAAGCAAGATTTGATAAAGCTTTATCCTGTTTTTTTATAGGATGTCACTGAAATTGAGGAGAAGGAAGCACAAGCTAAACAGGAGGAGCAGATCATGAAGTGAGTTGGTCTTGTGCAATTAAGAGCTGTGAAAGGCAAACTGTCCAGTGGAACTGCCCACACCTGGAGCCATCCAGCTGCACCCAATCCCAATAATTAGTGAGAGCACTGAGGCATTTTGTTGACAAGCACCACTGACTTGTTGGCATGAACCCCCTGCATGCTGTTACTGCCGAATCTTCTGCTTTCTGCCCAGTGTTTGTTCCCACCACTCAAACACCGGTCTCACTCCCGACCGTGATTTGTTTTCCAGGGAACAAGAGCTTTCCAACCTGCTCCACGAGAAAAGGTACCTGAGAGCCCTGGGCTTGGCCATTTCCCTGGACCGGCCGCACACCGTGTTGATGGTGGTCAAGGGTGAGTCCATGTCCCGCTCCGAAGGCATTTTCCTGCCCTCTGCTTTCCAGACTCTTTCCAGGCTCCAAAGTCTAATTATTAGTGTGCAAGCCTCTGTGCTGCCTCTCTCTTTGCCACGTTCCTGGGTGCATTCACCCCAGGTAGCCAGTGGTCTCGCTGCTCTCAGCCTGGGCCCTTCCCTGGACTCTCCCTTCTCTCCCTGCAGCCATCCTGAAGGAACCTGAGGGGAGGAAGCGCTTGGAAGAGAACATTGTCCGGCTCCGGAAGGATCAGAAAGGTTTGTTGCCGTGTGGTTTAGGTGTTGAAAGGCTCCCAGGTCAGGGGCTTGTTTCCTCAGCTGAAATTGGAATCATAAAATAGAACCGTGCGATGGTTTGGGTTGGAAGGACCTCAAAGTTCATCCAGCTCCGTTCCCTGTGCTGTGGGACATTCAGGGACGTTAGGCCTTGTCATCCCACACTTTTAGGGTGTGACAGCTCGAGGAGCAGTTCTGTCTATAAATATTTTGCCCCTCTGGGCTCGTCAGTCACCATCTGTGGGAGCTGAACCTCTGTAAGACCCAAGACACGGGTGTCCCTCCCCCACAGAGGCAGTGCTGGCATTCCTGATCACCTGGAACACCAACTCCCGGAACTGCCACGAGGCCCAGGCTGTCCTGGAGATCCTCCTGAAGCACGAGGCACCCGACAGTCTCCTGCAGTTCTCGGGCATTAAACCTGCTGTGGAGTCGCTGCTGCCCTACACGGGTGAGTCACTGTGGGGCCAACCCAGACACAGAATCCTGGAATGGTTTGGGTTGGAAAGGACCTTAAAGCTCAGCCAATCCACCCCCTGCCGTGGGCAGGGACACCTTCCCCTGTCCCAGGTTGCTCCAAGCCCCGTCCAACCTGGCCTTGGACACTTCCAGGGATGGGGCAGCCACGGCTTCTCTGGGCAACCTGTGCCAGGGCCTGCCCACCCTCCCAGGGGGGAATTCCTTTCCCAGTGCCCTGATCCCTCCTCTCCCGCAGAGCGGCACTTCCAGCGGCTCAGCCGGCTGCTCCAGGCCTGCACGTTCATCGACTTCATGTGGCACAACATGAGGCTGGGGGACACGGCCCAGCAGGACAACGGCACCCTCTGACCCTGCTCCCACCAGTTCCCCTTTCCACGGTGGGGAGAGCTCCTTCCCACCGGGGTGGTAACTGTATTTTTGGTTCCTGTGTTTTGTAATAAATTTTTAAATGCTGATTTGTAAGACAAGCCCAGCGTCCCATCTCCCCGGGGCCGGGGGAAGGGAAAGGGGCGTTTCTTTGGCCGAGCTCTGGTTTGTGTTTCCACACCCTGAATTTTCAGGCCCGGGCACTCAAACATCACTCAGTTTGGGGGAAAGGCAGAATCCCAACGAGAAGTTGGGCTTTACTGGGGTTTGAAGACTGGGATTTATGGAGCTGGGAGGCACTCTTGGCGATGTCAGATCATGTCCCCAAGCCCAGCTGGGCCCTGGGCGTCAATCACTGTTGTGCCATTAAATATTTTCTTTGCTTGAACAAAATGCAGGCTGGACCAAAGCAGGTCTCTCACCCGTGCCCACCCCAAATTTAGCACCTGGGAGGGAGAGAAGCACAATTTTAATTCCCCAGGTAGCAAATTTTTAAAGTGTAAGACTCAGAGATATTTACATGTGTTTTATTTCAAAGACAAAAATGTATAAAATTCACAACGACACAAACATCTCACAAGATGTTTCTAAAAAATATTAACAGGGAGCATAACTACAATTAAAGCCAACAATGTATAGAAAAGTCTTAATTTTCCTGGAACTAATTATCCAACTCAAATCTAGCAACGAGGTCAGGATGAGAATGGCTGTGTTTCAGTGACTCCCTAGGAGGGGGAGTGTTTTGTCCATTGTTCTGTCCCTGTCCCCAAGTGGGACACAAGCTGTGACAGCCCTGTTTGTGCTCCTGTTCCTGCACAGACACAACTGGAGGGAACAGCCAGGGATGAGGTTCCTCCCCAGCAGGTTTTTTGTTCTCACAGCCATTCAGCAGATGCAGCCAATTCATCTGATGGCCTCTCCACTACTTAAAATGATCTAAACTGTAAAAAAAATCCCCAAACTAACACCAAAACCTAAACAATTTAAATACATATATATAAAAAATAGGGGGTTCAGGTAAATGATATCACAGAGCTGCATCATCCCATCCCTCCCACAGTCCAGTAGCTGTAGCTTGGGGTGCCATCGGTGACTCTGAGTCACTCTGGTGACTCTTCTCTGCCCTCTGGGGTGGCTGCAGCTCACCTGGTGTGGGCAGTAAAGCAGCAGTGACTGTGAAATGTTCAACTCTTCACGTCCTGCATGGCAGGATAAACACCTGCCTGAGGGAGAACTTACTGAATTCCAAGTGACCTCTGACTTGGGAGCTGCTGGATCCGCAGCTGCCCTGACTCCCCTGAGGAGTTAAACCACTAAATCCTTTCCCAGTAACTCCCTTCTGGCTCCCAGTGTGCCTGCGAAGCTGCAGCAGGAACGGGTGCTGCCCAAGGAGGGGATGGATGTCCGTGGGTGCGTTCCTTGGGATCCAGGGGTGTCCCTGGGAAGCCGCAGTCCGAGGGCTGACGCTCCTGTGGGGCTCTGGGGGAGTGCCAGGCTGTGCCTGGGCTGTGTCCTGTGCCCTGCCCTGCTCTAATGCAGCGTGTGCAGGCCTGGCCGGGGGCTGTGTCCCTGCAGGGCCCGTTTGGTGACGGTGCTGCACCTCTGCAGGATCTCGTGTGCCGAGGGCCGCGCCGGCACCCTGGGGACACTCGTGGCCGGCTCGGGGTCGGGGAGGGGCGAGCTCAGGTCGGCTGCAGACGACTCCACGAAGCCAGAGTCGTTCCTGTCCCTGGGGCTGAGGCGTGGGGACTTGGTGCTGTGCGTGGCCAGGGCAGGGGAGCTCCTGTTCTGCTCCACTTCGGGCAGGGAGCGGGACAGGACGGGCTGCCAGCCCAGCCGGGCGCCCTGCTCGCTGCTGCTCCCCGAGCTCAGGGATGAGCTCTCTGACTCCAGGTCCGAGGTGGAGCTGGCCCTGGGCAGAGATCTGGACCTGCTCCTCTGAGAGCTCCCATCTTCTCTGTTCAGGTCGAAGGAAGAGCCAGGCTGTGCCCTGGGCTGTGCCACGGCCTCCCCCCGGGGCTGGGGGCCGGGCAGGGAGGAGCAGAGGTTCGGGGTGGAGACGTTGAGGCCGCAGCTGATGATGGTCTGCAGCTTGTGGTGAGGATTCTTGTAGGGCCGCAGGCACAGGGAGGGCATGTAGCCCGTGCTGCCGTTGTACCTGAGGGCAGGGATGGAAGGGACACTGAGAGGAGCCCTCTGGCCAGCTCGGGCCGAGGGCAGGGAGCAGGGCAGGGCCCAGCCCCGTGCTGTACGTGGGGTGTGAGGACCAGGAAAGCATCCCTGGGCGAGGACGTGCAGCTCAGGGGTGCACCCCCCACGGGGAGAAAGGAGCAAGCAGCCCCTGCAGCAGGTACCCAGCTCCCTGGGGGAGCAGCACTTTGGAAAGCCTCCTTACCTGATGAGCCACCAGCCGTTGTCAGACATCCTGAGCACCTCCACCACCACCCCGCTGTGCAGGGAGAGCTCATCCCCCTTCTGGGCCTCGTAGGGCTGCACCACGAAGTACAGGCTGCCTGTGGGAGGAGGGGGAGGTTGGATCTGCCCCTTGGAGAAAGTGCCCCCACGCCTGTGACAGAGCAGCTCAGCTGTGGGGCAGGTGTCCCTGAGGGGGACTGGCTGCTCAGGGACCCCAAACTGATCGGTTTAGGTTGGATATGAGGAAGAAGTTTTCTGTGATGGGGGTGGGGAGGCCCTGGCACAGGTTGCCCAGAGAAGCTGTGGCTGCCCCTGGATCCCTGGAAGTGTCCAAGGCCAGGTTGGACGGGGCTTGGAGCAACTTGGGCTGGTGGAAGGTGTCCCTGCATGACCTTGAAAGATCCCTTGCAACCCAAACCATTCTGTCATTCCATGGCAGAGCTGACCAGAAGAGTCAGAGCTCCAGAGATCCAGGTGGGGACCCCAAGCAGTGGATAAAGTGGTGGGGTTTTGCAGGACTCATTTTTTGAAGGAGGAACACGGTGTGCCAGAGAGCCAGGAGCAGACTTACCCTCCTCACTTGAGCTAAAGGTGTTCTGCACGTCCTCGTGGACATCAAGCTCTTCCAGGTACGAGGCTGGGAACCAGGCAATCTGCTTGTCTGCATTTTCCACCAGCCACCACCCTACAAAGATCAAAACACCCAGTTTTTAGCAGCCTGCAAGTTGAGAGATGACCGTAATCCCTGGATAAGGGACACAAGAGACAGGAGGGACATTCACTGTCCCCCCAGGTAAGCACACAACTACAAACACCTGCCACTACCTTGGCATTTGCTGGGCTGTGAATCGACCTGCCTCTTCACCCCTGACACTGAAGAATCCCCTCAAACATACCAGTCATGTCCTTGATTAACACTTCAACAATTTCCTTCTGAGCCACTGTGAAGGTCCTGTTCTTGGTGTCCTTGGTTTCGAAGCTCTCGATGCAGCGGTAGCTCTGGGACGCCTGGGGAAGGGTGATGGAGATGGGCTGCTGCTTCTTTTCCCTTCTGAATTCTGATGGCATGATCACAACACTGCAAGGCAAAGTTTCACATCAAGAACTCTGGTGGAAGGTTGAGTTTAGTATTAGTTTTGGTAAAATCACTCATGCAGTAGCTTTGGGCATCAGAGACAACATAAACTGAGATTAAAGCAGAACCTCCCTGCTCTGCTGCCCATTCCATGACATTTCTGCTTTGTGAACAAACAAAAAGGACAGCTCAGATTTCCCACCTGTTTTCAGGGAAGGAGGGATCGAGGTCCTGGGTCTGTGCCTTGAAAAACTGAGTCACTTCTTGGCCCCGGGAGATCCTTGCGTCCCTTTTCAGCAGCTCCTGGGAGTAGATTTCCAGCAGTTTCAGGATCTCCAGGCACCTGCTCAGCTTCCCACCCTTCCTGTGCTGCATTGTCACACCTTTAAAATAACAGTTGGTTGGTGTGAGACAGCAGTGGGTTTGGATGTCTTTGGGAGCAGCATCTTTTACCTGATCACGGGGTGTCCTCGCCCACCACCCTTCCTGCCCCATCCCAAACTGTACCAAGTCACTGTCCCTGCCTCCCTGTCCTTTTTAATAGCTCCTAATACGATTTTTAACATCTAAAATTTATCTTTTTTTCTCATGCAAATATTTCAAGAAGCTCTGGGCTAATATTTAAGTGTAATATTAATTTCCCAAGTGCAATTATCTATTAAAAAGGCCTTTCTGGGTTATTTTAAGTCTGTACTAGACCCAAGCATGTTGATGTAACCCAGTGGTGCTGTGCCAGGAGCAGGAGAGAGCTCAGCCTGTTCCAGAGAAAGGTCAGACTCGAGGCTTCAGTCTGTGTCCCCAGCTATGACTGTCCTGTCCACTCACATGTTTGTTGGTCCATCAGAGGTTTATTCTTACCTTTAAACCTGGGTAAATTCCTGAGGGAGCCACTCTCCATGGGGAATTTCCTCTTCAGCTCTTTCTAAAAGCCAGGAGAAGGAGAGAACAGTGATTCCTGACCTCCCTGACACCCAGCTGGGCTCCTTCCCCCTCCCCAGGGCGGGAATCCTGACATGTCAGGAACTCAAAACTCACTTACGTGGAATTTCTTGAAGTCTTCAAATGTCCGGTAGATGAGAATGTTGTTCTGGTCTGACCAAGTCACAAACATCATGTAGTTCTGGGAGAAGAAAAGGGAAAAAGAAAAGCAATTTAATCACAGTGTTTCATTTGAGATGCCTCCAGGCAATCAGTGTTTGCCACGAGCTGTTCTGGCTTCAGGCTGAGAGTATCACACTAAAAAACTCAACTGAACATTAAAGCTACAAAAATGTCTCCTTGATTTTAGGGTTCCAAATGGATAATCACAGATGAAATCAGGAGGATTTTATGGCGCTGTGACAGAAAGGGAGCAAAATCCAAGATAATAATTTTCTTATGGTATTAAGCCCATTACAAAAATCCCTTCGTCCTACATCCCAAGGCTCTAATCCCAGCGCTGTGGGGAATGAGCAAACACACCCCTGGAAGAGTAAGTCCCAAACCCTCTAGTTTCCTAATTTATAATATATTTCAGGAGGAAAAAAAAAAAAAAAAGAAAAAAAAAAGGGAAAAAAAATAAAAATTAACATACCTTCTGCTTTTTGCACAGCATGAAGCCAACGGCCTGCACATCCACGGGGTACCTGTGGCAGCTCATCTTCCCCACGCCTGCTCCTCCCTCACTGGGAGCTGGAGGGATGACCTGGAGGGATGATCTGGAGGGATGATCTAGAGGGATGGGAGCTGGAGGGATGATCTGGAGGGATGATCTGGAGGGATGGGAGCTGGAGGGATGTGTCCTGGAGGGATGCGTGCTGTGCCGGAGGTGGCAGAGCGGTGTCTCCAGGCAGGACTGGCCGTGTTAAATCCCCTGCAGCAGGAGGCAGGGCACAGGCGTTCCCGCACCTCCTCCTCCGCCCCGCCCCGCAGAAATTCCCTGGTTTGGCAAACTACCGGGTGCCTTTCACCTTTCACCTCTCCCCTCTGCTTTTAACATGCAAACAGTCCCGGTTGCAGCGGCGGGGACAGAGTTCAGGGGGCAGGGGGGGCAGATCCAGCTGGTTTTATCTCATCACAAGCAGTGCTGGGAAGTGAGCCGGGCCCTGGGTGTGCAGGAGGTCACTGGGGCAGCAGCTCCTGCCCCGGGAGATTTCCGGGGAGACACGCAGGGTTTTTATGGTTATATTGCACAGTTACCTGCAGCCCGGGATAAACTCACACCAGCCCCAGAAAACTGATTTACAGCGTGGGTTGTCGTAAAGCAGGAATTGGGCACCACTTGATAAGTGTAATGGTTGTTATAAACGTTTTTTCTTTATGGCTTTGTCCCACCTGCTGAGATATTTTAAATGGACTTCTGGCAGCTTTATCAATATTTATATGCTCTCAGAAATTATGGGAGATGCCAATGTCAGTGTTATCATAGAATCACAGAGCAGTTTGGGTTGGAAGGGACATCAAAGACCATCCAATTCCCACCCCTGCCATGGGCAGGGACACCTTCCACCAGCCCAGGTTGCTCCAAGTCCCGTCCAACCTGGCCTTGGACACTTCCAGGGATCCAGGGGCAGCCACAGCTTCTCTGGGCAACCTGTGCCAGGACCTCCCCACCCTCACAGGGAAGAGTTTCTTCCCAATATCTGATCTAAACCTACTCTCTGTCAGTTGGAAGCCACTGACCCTTGTCCTGCCACTACAAACACGGCCCAGGGCACGGCCCTGAGCACTGTCCTGCATCCAGCCAGGTGTCCATACCCTCCCAGCTCTTCCCAAGGAGCAGCTCCACTGCCCAGAGGCACAGAAAGACAGGTAATTCCAGCCCTGTCCTCTCCCTGAACCGCTGTGTGCCTCAGGTTATGACTTGGCTGATGGGCACCCTGTGATCAAACGGCCTTCTCTGTCCTCCCTCTCCCTGCTCTTTGATAAAGCCTAAATTGAACCATTATCATTATCATTATCATTATTTGAGCCCCAATTGAGAGGCTCAGCCCTGCCTCCCCTTTCACAGCCCAATTACACCTGGTGTCTCAAACCCTCAGTAATAGCTGGGGATGATTTTTCATCTACCAAAAAAACCCCCACAGAACTGGAACAGGGAGCCAAACCAGATTCCTTCTGGACATCAGGCAACACGGTGAGGGGGGCCTTTGCTTTGTGTTCCAGGAGCATCCTGCTCCCACACAGCAGGATGGCAGCTCCTGGGGGCAAAGGGAGCTGTGCTGTTGCAATTCTATCCATTGCTGGATGGATATCTGTCCTCCATCAGAAAGGGAAAGTCATCCAGAGAGAATTTATTGCTTGTCTGTGTATTTTGGTGGGAAAACCCCTTCACTGGCACCTCCAGGGCTCTTTCTGGCTCAGGAAGCCGGGCAGGACCTGCCCTGGGGAAAGGTGATGGGAAGCAGCTCCCTGCTCTCCCTTAGCCCTGGAACTGGGACCCTCCATCCCTCTGTTCACAACGGGCCCAGCAAAGACACGTGCTGGGAAATGTACCCAGCTCAAAGGGTGAGGATTTTATGGAGAGACAGGAAATCACACAGTGAATTTTATTAGAAGGTCCCAGTCTCCGAGGCGGCCGAGAGGGCCAAGCCCACCTTCGTGTGGCTCTTGGAAATATGTGGAGCCAAGACTCTCAACAAAGCACCTTGGATTGGTTTCCTGCATTTCCAAGAGTTTACCCTGTTTACCTTGACTGGGAAATGCCAAAGGCAAGGAAAACCTTAGAGGAGCTGCAGGAAGAGGAGATGAGCAGGGAGGCTCAGAGAGCACATGGCTCTGCACTGGAAGATCTGTGGGTGTCCTGAAAACAGGAGTAGGAAACAGCTTTGGTCAAAGGCTTTGCTGTGTCTCACCATTCTCAGGGAATTCAAGCAGAAAGGGAGGGGTGGAAAACATAATGGGATGTTATGAAGGGAAGGTTACAGGGGGGTTTGGAATCACCCGAGGCTGGACAACCAGCCATGCAGTTTGGAGAGCCAGTTTATGGGGCTCACTGGGAGACTGGTGGTGACAGGGAATCCCAGACAAAGGGAAACATGAGCAGAACTACTCCAAACTCAGGAAGGGGTTTGCTGAGAGAACGTTCTGCAGAGGCAGAGCAGAGGGGTGGGGAGGGAGGAGAACAACCTGGCACTGCTCAGGGACACCAACACCTCCAGTGTCATCCCAGAAGGTTCCAGGCTCTGCAGATGTCACAGCAGTATCAGTGCCCTGTCCATGTCAAGGCTGATGTCACGAAACTGTTCCTTGGAGAATGGCCTAGTGAGTCACGGCAGGTTAGTCTGGAGTGACACTTCCCATGAAACCGGGAGAGGGATGGCCAGATTCCCTCTGCAATCCTCAAGTGCTCCTCAACACGTCCTCCACAACACCCAGCCACGTCAGGGCCAGTCCTGTGGGGAAGGACGGATAACCAACTGGAAGAGGCCATGAATTCCCCTTCTCTGCTGGATACATTGGAACTCATACAAAAACAAGACAAAATATCATTTTTTAGACATTATTAGGTTTACTTTTTGACTTCTACTACTTCCATATTATTCTGCCATAAACCAGGACCTCCTCATGGGTAATTATTAACAGAAGGGTAGGAGTGGTCTGCCCAGAAGCTGTGACACTCCAGGAGTATTGCTGGTCGCTGCCGTTTCATCATCAATTTACACAACTTCGAGGGCAACAGTTACTTCTTCTTTAGATGTTTTACAAGGTACCAAACAGACCATAAATTAACAGATAACATGTGGGAGTGCACTGCCTGGCTTTGCCAAGATGGAGGAAAAACAAGTTTTCCTCCATAACTTCCATGATTTTTTTAATCCTGCTCCAAGAGAGCCCTGCCAAGGTGGAGTTCTGCCTCCTGCTCTCCTCGAGGAGCATCCCCGTGGCCATAAACTGCTCTGGGTATGGAAACATGTTTGTGTCACGGCAGGTGACTCAGTTGTTGTCATGGGGAGTCACACCAGAGTCCCTCCCCCGGGGTGCCCACGGTTGGGAACACCAGGAAGGTCATCCAGTGGCTCCAGGAACACCCACGGTCACCAGGGCTGTCCCCTCTGCTATTCCCAGGACAAGATCAGCTTCCCTTCCACGACAAATAAACACTGAGGGTCTTTGCTTTTCTTTGCAGTTCAGAGGGGGCCAGGAATAACTTCATCTGGTGGGTTTAACCAGAGTAGAGTTTGAGTGAGAGGGGTGACCAAAGGCAGCTCCCCACCGGCCCCTCCACAGCCATTTTCCAAGTCTAACAATCAACAGCCTCATCCCAAACGCCCACACATGGAGAAGAGCAGGAGCTGTGTCAGGAACACCCTTTAGGACATACAGAAGTCACGTCTAGGCCGGTGAGTGCCCTGTTCCCTCAAGGCTGACAATGTGTGGGACTCTGCATCAGGGATTTCCCTTTCTATGCCCAGCACAGGAAAGGCAAAGAGAGGGAAGGGCCTCAAAGCACCCCTGGGTGCAAGGAAGAGATATGAGAAGGCACAGCCGAGGGGGGCCCTCGCCTGGAACAAGACCTGTAGAAAAGCTCCATCTTTCCCTCCCTCACTTTCAGAATCAAAACCTGCCCTTTACTGCCCTGGAAGGTCACCTGTGATGACACACGACCTATCAGCACCTTTAATGAAAACCCCAGCTGCTAAAAGCTGATCTTAAGAGTACAAAGAGGGTTTAGACTTTTAATAAACAGAGAAACAGACCCTTATTTAAAAAGAATAATGAAACCCCAGACACTGGAGTTGACAAAAGTCTCCTTCACCTCACGAACAAAGGAAGCAGTTGAACTTTCACACAGGCTGGGATGAGAGATTTGCTAGTATCTAAACAAGAAGAATGTGTTTTATTTCGTCCTGATTTCAGCAGCTGCTGCAGGCTCTAAAGCATTTTTCTGTGGCCAGAGGGATCTGGTTCAGCAATCCTCAGAGATCCCATGATTCCATGGCAGTGCTGGTTTCCTGCAAACCCTTATTCTGCCCTTTCCATGAGGAGCCAGCACATGCAGAGGGGAGGATTCCTTGGGCACTTTAATTCTCCTTGTTGTTCCAAGCCTGTCTCTGCTTTCTCCTGCCACACTCCCACCTCAGCACAAGTCCCACTCCCTTTAATCTGCAGTACCCTGGGATGGATCATTCCCGGGGCATCCCTCGTTATCGCCCATCAGGACTCAGTCCCTGCTCTGGATCACTGACAGCTGATATAAAACCACTGCATCCCATCAAACTGCCTGAAACCTGGCACCAGCAGGCTCATTTTCCATGGAAAGCCCTTGGGATGCAGCTGGCCAGCCCTGCCTGCTGGGGGAGGTTTGGTGGTTGCCTGGGGTGTGTCGGACGGGCTCTTGTTTGCCCAGCACTTGTTGCAACAATTTCGCAGCTCCTTTGTAAAAGGGGCATATTTTCCTAAGGTCATGCAGAGGGCAAAAGGGTGATTCAAGAGGGAATCTTCTAGAAAGGGTAAGAATGTCACCTAAACCACTGCAAGAGAAAGTTTCCTTTCATTGCATCATTTTCTATGGAAAAAAAAAAAAAAGGGTGTTTGATGAGTGTGTGATCCGAGGCCAGCACGGTGTGTGAATGTGCTGGGACTCAGCCATGGGATGTGAAAGGAGATGGAAGGCAGGGTGGAGTTTCCAAGGGGGTTCAAGGCTCTGCAGTGCCTTAAACAGCCTGCCCTGCATGTTCCCAAACATACACACGGGGGAAATCCCAGCACCACCGGTACAGCACACAGCAGGTGCAGCAGGTACCAGGGAACATGGAACTCGGGAAAAATCTGTTCTTACTTCATGATAAATATAGTAAAGTGATCAGAGACCAGATCGCTGTGTTCCTTCCAGATTAGTCAGAGAGGTGCTCATCCCACTCCTCCCCTTTCCTCATTCCCCACGCCATCCATGAGCGTGCAAAGTGCCTCAT